CTCTCTCGCAAGCTCTGCTGGCTCTTAGGCGTTTGTGCGTTTCTCCGGCCAGATGATATCGGTTGCATCGATGTGTCAAAGTCAGAGACCAATGAAAAGGGTCTTCTCCTTACCATAGTCTTCCCTAAGGAGCGACGCGATGGGCAGCGCATCATAAAGTCGATCTTCGTAGGTAGACACCCTAACGACAAGAAAATTTGCCCAGTCGAGGCCTATACAGAATACACCAGACGGATAGCGGACACACCTCTCGAAATCGAGCACCACAAAGATCAGGATTATAAATTCAATCCTCTTATGCGCTTTGTGAAAGACAAGTCTAAAGTCCTTAGGGTCAGTACCATAGGCACTTTTATGAATGAAATCACACGTCGAATTCCAAATCTTCCGTCGAAACGGCCTCCTCCAAAGCCACGCGCTATAGGATCAACCTTGGCAGCCATCGCTGGCGTATCAACCCAAGATATCATGGTTCAAGGGAATTGGTCGTCTGACAAGGTTTTCAACAAACACTACCGTGTTTCCCGCAAAACCAATTCAAATTTGACGACGTCTGTTTTTGGTTCGCTCTGAAGTCACATATGGACCATGGCTCCGAGGATAATGATCTGGAAGTGCTACAAAGGACGCACTATCCTCATTATCAGAGTAGCCATGGGACATATGTCCCTCCCACACCTCCCTTTTCTTTTCACTCGTTACTAGATAGAGAGTAGATCAGAGCGAACGCTAGATTTTATTTATTTTATTTTTAGTTTTTTCTCGGTCAGAAGGAATAAAAAGAGGTCACACATATGTCCCATGGCTACTCTGATAATGAGGATAGTGCGTCCTTTGTAGCACTTCCAGATCATTCAACTAATTGTTGCACATTTGCTACATTTTCCCTCGTTTTCTTTTTTACAATGCGCGTCGACTCAAGGTCAATTGGTTTTTGTCATTTTTGCTCGGGTGATCATTTTTTAAATTGTGTTTAAAATTGTTGTTTTAGCACAAGAATGAAGTAAATGGAGTGAATGAGGATGAACCGCGAGATCATGCTTGTGCGTCAGGGCTGTGCAAGAATGTTTATGAAAGATTGAATAGTGTTCGCACAGTGATCACTTACCTGAAATATTTAGCTTTTGTTGTTGACAGCAAAGCAAGCTTGACTCATTGCGCCTGAGCTCAGTGTTGGTAAAAATGTGTATGTGGACATGAATGTGTGCGCTTGTGCCATGGTCCTCATTCACTGATGTCTTTTTTAAATGGATGTCTCCACTCTGTCAAACCATTTTACCGGTGCAACTCACGCTCCAGCTGCTTATTGACCCAGGCTGGTCCTCTGCTCTTGAAGATTGAATAACTATTCTCACCCACCAACCAATGGCCGTGTAAAGACATATGAATTGTAAAAGCAAAATATTTGATAGACACGATACACTCTCCTTCATCCATCTTAGCAAAAGGTTCGTAAATGTCAGCATGAAGGTTTGATCACGACCTCTTCGCAGCAAATATAAATCGTCTCTCTTTTTTTCATGAAGAAGAGTAGCAATGTTATCGGCATGCGAAACAATTCCAAGAATTCACTCAAAATGTTATAAAAAAAGGAAATTAGTAAGAGTCATTAATATGCAATGCTATTCACTAGATCGACAGGATATTGTTGGTTTTAGTTTTAGTCACGTGTAGAAGGTTCACCACAACTATTTAACGAGCAACAGCTCAGGAAAATCTGGCTCCTTGTTCCTTATTTTTACACAAGAGCCATTTGAGTACTGACTGTTCTCGTTCAGGTAAAGAACCCTCACAACGTTCGTCGTTAGTAGCCATAGATCATTAAAGGTTCCTTATTTTTACACAAGAGCCATTTGAGTACTGACTCTTCTCGTTCAGTCTTTGAGTAGTGTGTGTTCTTTTTATTGTGTTAGAATTATTTTATCTATCTGCAGCTGGAAGTGACCGGCTTCACAATCCACCAAAACGACCTAAATCTCCTACCGGGGTGGCAGCTACAATGTCTTCCAATTTATCGATTCTTCTTACCATGATCCCGAAGTGGCCGTCGGCGGAGGCTGAGGGTCTAACCGCCGCGACATGGATCAGCGATTTTGGAGGTGTTATCGAAGGAGAAACCCTGAGCAACAAGTTGATGTTCGTCGAGAGGCAGGCGACAGGCAAGATCCAACGCTGGATCAGGTGCTGGAGGATGACAAACAAGACGAATGGTGCCTGGAGCCAGTTCGTCAGCGATTTCATCATGGAGGCCTCTACCCCTAGAAGCCAGGATGTCACCTTGGACGAGTTGCATTCTATTAAGCAAGGAGAAGATGAGACGACAGCCAACTATGTACAACGAATGAAACTTACCATGGAACTCCTCGACCCAGAGTCTGGTTGCGACGCACAGCCGTACAAGATCCCAACAGCCACCGAGCGTCTACTGGCGTACAGATTTTGCAAGGGTTTGAGGCAAGACCATCCCTTCAAGGTCAAGAACAAAGAAGCGCCTGCGACCTTGAAGGAAACCTTCGAATCAGTGACACAATTGGTTGAAGGAAATCGTTGGGGCATTGACACCACTGAGAGCCGTGTCATAGCTCGCAGCAACGCTGAGCATGCTGCACCAATCGAGACGAATGTTCTGCTAGGATCGACCCTAGTGCCGAGGACACACTACTCTGGCTTCCTGGCGGACTTCAAAGACGACAAGGAGAAAGTTAATCAATTAAGCGTGGACGAATTAACAGACATGTTTGGAGCCTGGACCCTTGCTGCCGAGGAGCGAACTCCGGAGGCGCGAATTGCTCAGACTATCTCAAGAATGAGCCCGGCTGTAGCGAGGCGAGTGTTTGGTTCCTCTGAATTGGCCAAGCATATTAGAGTGGAGGCTAGACCTAATGCCGTGCTCCAACCCGCCGAAGTTCGAAGTCAGCAGGCTACCCCTATGGCCCGTAGAACCTGCCATAAATGTAATCAAGAGGGGCATCTCTTGTCGTTCTGTCCATTGGTGGAATGCTTCCGATGTGGCGAGCGAGGCCATACTTCGAAGGTTTGCACTAAGGGACAAGGAAGCCCCGCCACAGGCGCCAATAGCGTCCCATTGGCCACTCAAACTAACTCCTCGCTAAGGGTGCAAAGCTTAGAAATCTCCGCCACCAATGTCGCCCAATCATTTATCACGACTAAGCCACAGCGATTAAATTCGACAGGTGCCCAGCGACGTCGCAGTGAGAGGACAGGCACTCCTGCAGGTCCATCGTCTCAACGAAGAGAGGTGTTGCATATTTCACAGTACACGTGTTACATAAAAATTAGTTGTTGCACACAAGATCTGTTTTACACACAAAATAACACACAAACGACTGTGTATCATAAAAACAAGCCCCATGTATGAGTAGTAACAGACAGAAGGCGCAGTGCGAGCATAGAAGGAGCGTAGTAATGATACACGTTTGCACCATGGTGACCGTAGACGAACTTGTAGTTACATTTAGATACGATTTTCAATAAATACCCCATGGATGTGCAAACGTGTTATACAATACTGAACTCAAACCTTTGAGGAGGGCTCAACTATCACGCGCACCCCAGGCGCCAAGACGCCAAGCCCAAGTGCCAAGACACCAAGCCCCAACCCTATCAATTATCAGTATAAATAGTCCACTACGTTATAGCCAAATAAAGTATCCTCTGACCTTCGATTCCACCTAAGATCACCTTTGATTGTTACTATTTACAGGTATCTACTCAAGTGTGTGGGAGATAATTTGAAAAAAATTCAGCAAAGGTACGTAAAATAAGTGATGGTTATATAGTTGTCCAAATGACATTAAATACTTTTGTCAATTAAAAACCATGATGAATGAGACTAGAGATATTTTAAACTGGACCAGTACACTTAACATTGGCATACTTGTTTATTCTGATAAAAATAAAAGTGCAAGCAAACATCGCTATTATTCTTATCAAGATGGAAACATGGGCGCGGAACATGTGGACAATTTTGGAAGCCACTGTATGAAATAAAGCACATTACATTACTTTCGCACGCAGACGGCACGCAGACGTGATAATGCAGACTGTCCAGGAACACCAAATTAATGCAGAGATTACCAGGGACGGAAACCACCGAAATGATAAAGACTTACGAATGTCGATTGGATAATAGCGTCAATGAAAGATTGGCACAGATGTGAGGCCTTCACGTTCTAACGGTAGCGAGAGAGAGAGAGAGAGAGAGAGAGAGATTGCTAAAAATAATGGGAACGCAATGAAAGGAAAATACAAATGGGAGGAAATTAGGTGTGTACTGAGTGAGGAAAACTAGAACAGAGGAAGCGAAGGAAAAATCAGTGAGCAGGGAAAATGGGTGCGTATGAGGAAAGGAAAATGGGTGCGTATAAGGAAAGGAAATCGGTGTGCGAAAGTAAATTGAAATGATTGATTCACAGAATGAGAAAAAGCTGTGCAAAGAGAGCGAGAGAGAGAAATAGGTGCACAGAGAATGAAATAAAAAATGGGCAGGGAATGTGTGCTGAGAGATAAAAGTGAAAAAAATTGGTGAGGAAAATAAAAAAATAATGGATAAAATAAGCGAGGAAAGAGAGAGTAAGAGGTGTCTAGAGAGAGAGAAAGAGGTGCACATGGAGGAGCAAAAATTAAAGATGTAAAGAAAGAGATAATTAAATGTTTAACGTGTAGCTAAGGTGCGAAAACAAAGATTCTGAAGCAATAGAGAGAAAATGTATATAATTGTATGATGGATGATGGGAATAAAAACGCGTGTACGTAATTTTATTTTTAGTGAGCACATCCTATTGCCACTCTTTTTTTTTTCTCACACATCCATCTTTCTTTCTTTCATCCCTCTTCCTCTAAGCATTTCTCTTTCAATCTTCACATTAACGCCAACATTCTTGCTCAGTTCACTTTAATCAAATTCGCTCTTGCTGATTTACTGTCAATTACTTTTTTTTTTTTTTTTTTTTTTTTTTTCAGTACGCAATTAAACCAAGATGACTCAAAAAATTAAGCTCTTTTGTATTCTCGACGGCGACTCTTTCGCATTTGAAGTCCAATTGGATGCTGATGACTCAATTGCTGCTCTCAAAGATGCAATCAAGAAGAAGAACGAACCTCAATTCGACGACATTGCAGCTGGCAAATTGAATCTCTTCCACGTCTCTGTTCCTGATGAGGGCGCTACAATCAATCTCGCCAATATTGAATCAAAGGAGCTACTCACCAGAGCAACAAGCGAGATCTCTGAGGTCTTTGGTTCTGCTCCAGCGAAGAAAACCATACACGTCATCGTCCAGCGGCCATTGCAAGGTAAGGGATTGGCTATTTGTTCTCAAACTTTTGTGTATGACATCATAGTCTGCAATTGCGTCTTTTTGATTGCTGCTTCCATTTTGAGCTTATTTTCTCCACTAACTTATTTTCCCTCCATTCCGTTTCTAGTCACAAGTAATGAAACGCGTCATGCTGATTGCTGATTTATCTCTAGTATGATGACTGCTAACCAATATTTTTCTCCCCCGGCATCTTGCTTCACAGACCGTGTATCAGAGGCCGAATTCGTGCAGCATGTTCTAAGCAATATCACTGGCACAGATCAAACGCTTCGATCCAAGACCAAGACCAGCACACGTCGTGTTTACTCGATAACTCCCGCGTCTGTGCGAGATTGGAATGACTTTTTACCTTTGGTACGCCGTATGCCTCTGGCAACCGAGCCTCAGTACACACGTCCTAGTTTTTCGTTAGTCAGGACCTTCACAACCGAGTCGGATTTACAAGGGATCTTTCGCTATGACGTTGGATCGGTCCGAGGCCTGCCGCCATTTACAGACACGCGCGGCTCTTTTAGATTGACGTACGGCACTCCAGACCTGGTTTGCTCGCGCGAGGATAACCGGTTGGCACTGTTTCCAATTGAAATGAAAAGACCTGTTAAGCTGCATCTGAATGACGACACCAGCTACTCCGTTGCCTACCTAGCACAAGGATCATCGTCACAGGGCCCAGTCGGTCCGCTAAAGCAGATTTTCGGCTACATTAGACTTAATGGATTTCGCTATGGAGTTCTGTCAACCTATACTCAAACATGGTTTATCAAACGAGACTCGGCACATGGCGACGGCATCCTAATCTCGCCCACAATCCACTTTGACAGGACAAACCCGACTCTACTGCAGTGTTACCTGTGGCTGATTCGGACGGTGGATAGTGATACTGAATGGCAGCCAGACATACCCGATGAGACCTCAGTTGAATACATGCTCTCGAAGGAGCAACCTGAGGATAAGGCTACAAAACGTGACAGTGACTTTGTTCCAGAACGTGGTGGTGGTGGAAAATGGAAGCAAGGATTCAGAGCCTATTTGACGCGAAGCAAGTAAGAGGCTAATACTCAAATGTGTTTTGATCGAGATTCTCTCACCATAGGTGGCTGATCATCCAGTTTTTGATTGCAATCTAGGACCAAGAAGCAGGCAACAGGATCTATGCAATTGGAGAGACGCACTGTTCCAGCTTTCAAGGATATGAGACTTATTACATTTGGCGAGGGTGCGCGTACGTTCCGAGCTACATGGATGGGCGAGGATGTAGTGGTGAAAAAAGCCGACATCTGGAAGCAGTCCCCAATTGTCGATGAGCTGGAGCACGAGGCCACGATTTACGAGGAGCTTCAGATGCTACAAGGTCACTTCGTTCCCGAACTGAAGCTAGCTGGGATCATGGACGGAATGGAGATGGTTTTAGTAACAGAGTTCACTGGGAGCGACCTCTGCAATAAGCATTTGGATGCATCTGATCGAGACAAGATCCGCGGAGCACTCTCAGCGATCCACGATTTGGGTGTCCTGCACGGTGATATTCGACCAGATAACATTACAGCAAGACTTGATGGGCAGGATTCGCGGTTCTTTTTTATAGACTTTGGCTGTTCAAAATTTGCAAAACACAATTCAGCCCTGGATCGCGAGATGGGAGAATTGGAGGCGCTACTTGAGCTGATGCCATGGCCCGAAGGTAAGGACGGTTAATACGGTAATGGTAATGGTCATCGTGCTTTTGCTTCTCAAAGTGTGTCAGGTTAACGCCTTAAAGTGTACAGATTATCGTGTAGGTAATGGAGGAGTTATGACAATCGGAGTGAATGGAACTAGCAAGTGCGAATAGCCGAGCTCAAATACAGCATGTTGCAGGCCAGGAAAGAATGACAGAATCCTTTTCTCATTCACCAAGGGTACCCATTGTCTTGCGTAGCTTAAAGCAATACCTAGCTGCAAATCGTTGTACAATAGCTGTTTGCTCGAACCTTTCAGTTCTTCAATTTCACCCAACGATAACCCGATGGATGGAGAGAGACATTTAACTTCGTTCGCATACTCGTAAGAAATAAAGCTACATAGCTCACGTAACGAATAATGTATATCATGGATCCCTGCTATATTAATGTGGTATCCAAAGAAGAAGTGGAGTCGAATGAGGATCCATCATCGTAAACACAGGGTTGTTATTGTTACCTGCTAATAGGGTAGGGAAACCAGCTCCATGGCAGGTTTCTCAACAATGTGCAACAACATACAAGATGCTTCAAGTGAGAGCAAAACAGCAACAAAGAAGAAGGGAGCCAAAGCCCACCACTCCGTAGTTTGCATACTCCAATAAAGTCCATGTATTGCTTTTGCTTGCGTTGTTGCGGCGGACCAGGGATATTTATATTAAGGGAAAGTACTCTTTTTATTCGCACATCTACAAGAATCCAAGATGAAAATGTCGAAGGGAGAAATTTGTTTGAGTTGACACGAAAGAGCACTTCAGTGATTTGAAACTATGAGGGGAAGCAGTGCTTGCATCTTGGCAGCCGACTGGGGTTTCGACTATATATTCTTTAAATCTGTCGCTCGTGCGTCGTTAAATCGAGCGGATGGAGCTTGCTGCAAGGCAAACATATCCACCCCTTAAGGACACCACACGAGTGAAAGAAAAAAAAAAGAAAGATGATGTTCATACGAACAAATCTTCAACAAATGGCTTAATCTCAGCGGATCGTAGCAACAAGGCTACTCTACAGCTTACAGTACACCGTTGCTTAAAAGTCGTCTGCAATGGATTTATCTCTTCCAATATTTGAAATTAACATTAGCAGGAACCTCATGAAGCCTTTCCGCTCCACAAGATAACCCCACGTAGCATGATTCAGGAGCCGAAGCTCTATTCGTATTCAACTAAAAATCGGAAAAGGCGGTAATCGTCGCGTTCTAGCACGGATTCTGACTTAGAGGCGTTCAGCCATAATCCAACGGATGATAGCTTCGGGCCATTGCCTGTTCAGGCAGGCCCAAATACCAATTATCCGAATGAACGGTTCCTCTCGTACTAAGTTCAATTACTATTGCAACAACATTTCATCAGTAGGGTAAAACTAACCTGTCTCACGACGGTCTAAACCCAGCTCACGTTCCCTATTAGTGGGTGAACAATCCAACGCTTACTGAATTCTGCTTCAGTATGATAGGAAGAGCCGACATCGAAGGATCAAAAAGCAACGTCGCTATGAACGCTTGGCTGCCACAAGCCAGTTATTATTAAGCCTTTGGGAAATTTTCTCCTCCCTTTTCCCCAATAAGGTTTTAATAAACGGCCAAAACTTAAACATGCCAATATTAGCTGGCCAAGTCGAATAACATGACGACTTAAGCTTATTATCCGAGAGCCAGGACCATATATGTCCCACCCTATACCCACCCTTTTGTCTTTAGTTTTACTATTTTTTCCTGGCTCACTATCAAGAAGATGCAGATCCAACTTGGTAGCAGAGCAGATTTATATAGTTTATTTCTTTTATTTAAGGGTAGTTTTCTGAAAAGTTCGCTAAATTAGGCAATAAAAGAAGATAACACATATATGGACATGGCACCGTAGAAAATGGACATGGCACCGTAGACAATGGTCTACTGAATGGTCTACGAAGGACGACCTATTCACATTGTCATAGGTACCATGGACGTATGTCCCACCCACATCACCCTTTTGGCTCGAGAAGTAGATGTAGATCAGAGTTGCAGGGCAGAGGGATCTTTTTATTTAGTTTATTTTTCTTTATTTCTCGTCGGATTTTCAATGAAGAAAGGTGACACATACGGACATGGTACCGTAGACAATGTAATATGGCGAGCCTAATTCGTTGGAGATAAAAAAATGAGCCCAAATTAAAATCTTTTTTTTTTTTTTTTTTTTTTTTTTTTTCATTTCATGAAATATAAAAGACGAGATAAGCAACAGCAAAAATATCTTTCCCTCTATCCCTTTTATCCAAATATAAGGTGAGTCTTGACATCAGTATTAACTTAAGTATAAAGTAAAGGTGCTAAAAAACGACCATGTAACAATCCTCTATCGTTCTCCTTTATTCTTAGGACCAAGACGAGCGCTAACAATCTGTTTATAACAGTTTTAAGAGAAGCAATCATGCAGAAAAGCTGACAAAAAAAAAGATTTTTTGACCACTGCTCAGTGTCCCTCTGAAAAAAGATCCATGCAGGGTCGAAAATAAGGTTAATCGTTACGCCAAATTTAGACAAAAAGAACCATGTGAGCACAAGGTCTTTCATAATAAGTACACTTCTTCCAAATTAAGCAGGTGATCCGGCTGCATGACAAAAAAAAGACTAAAGCGTTTAAAAGGCCATATCGAAAGTCATGCAACATGAGCATAGGAAAGATAAAGTAGTGAAAGTCTATTTTATTAATACAGTCGTCCCTTGGTACACAACAGACTCCTATAGTTCCATCTTGAAGTCCTAAGGGTCTGGAACATGTTTGAGAATTTAAAAAAAAAATAATAGGACGAAGATTAAATAAAAAAACAAAAAGATACCTTCTCTTTATCTCTTTAGGATGAAAAATAGTTATTCATGTTATCTGGTGCAGCATTTTTGCAAGCTGTACGAATGTTGCTCATATTCAAGATTACCAAAGTACAAATAAACTTTCTCAAGGCTAGAATGGAGCACTTCAGGCTCTTTTTACTTTTAGGAGCCTATTTAGAAGCATTTTGTGCCATAAAAATAAAGGCAGAATAAAAATAAATATAAAAGTATAAAAATATAAAAACACAAAAATATAAAAATATAAAACATAAAATATATATAAAATATATAATATAAAATACTCTGACTTAAAATAGAACGATAAAAAAGAAATAAACATCGATTTTACTCAATGGATTTATGACATGAACGTCTTGCCATGATTCTTTTAGAACGTCAAAGTTCTTTTGTATTTACGACAGAATTGTCGTTTTCATTGTCATGCTCGAGTGGTCTTTTTCTATTTATTTCTGGTGACACCAAAAGCTTGGCCAAAGATTCAAAATTGTCAAACCTCTTTTGAAGGTCCTTAAGCTTCTTCCTAAGGTCTTGCATAGATGAAAGAAGTCTTTCAATTGGTTCTAGTACAATATGTAAAAGAATCAGTCAATAACGATAATATTGTTTAAAAAAAAAAAATAAAAAAATAAAAATAAAAAAAAAAAAGTGATGAAAAAAATGGATACAAACCTTCATTTTTTTTACTGAAGTCATTTACATTTGGGCCTAAAACAAAGAAAATAAAAATATAAAAAAAATTAATTCAATTGACCATGGTCTGAAGCGGTTAGAATGGGGATGGGTGAACTTACTCCTTTTAATTTGAATGATTATGTATGAAGCCAGATGCAGGTCTCTTTTCGAAGATGTTGGAGAGCTTGTCGCAAGGATTCAATTTAGACTTTGATACAATGTCGGTGAGCCGAACAGGCAAATCATCTTCACCGCAAGACATGTTAACTTTCCAAAGATCCATCTTGCTGTCGTCGATGGTGTCAAGGTCATCAGCCCATGCGATAGACCTTGACTTTATTTTCGCAGTTGTCCTTATTAGGCTTTTGAGTTGGGAAACGCTGGTGCGGGAGGGCGCCCAAACGTCAATAACGGCAGAAAGTGGTTCACCATCAAGTACGCAAAAAAGAGTGAACACCTTATTCTTGGGATGTGCATTTTTTTGGGAAGAATTGGTTTTGACGTACTTCAAGGAATCCATGGAAGAATGAGGAATGAAAGAATGAGAACTGAAAGTGTAATTTGATGACTTTTTATTTAAAAAAAAAAGTATACCATTGATGATCTGTATTTTATTCTGAGCACATGCACAATCTACTCCATTCTCCTTTCCTCTTCTCCATTTGTTTACCTTTATTTGCCGATGATTGTTATCTTTACCAGTTGCATGTGCGTCATTTTGATATTTTAGTGAAAGAGCCCTGAGATTTTTTTCGCTGCCGACTCTTCTTTTCATTCTTTCTTTTTGCCTTTCCTTCCTTCTCTCCCTCGACAAAATGGAATCCAAAATGCCTAAATGTTCTTTCGACTATTGCAGTAAGGGCTATCTGAGCCCAGATCGAACTTTGTCGCATAACGAGAAGGAACATGTCAGAAAATACCACAAAGAAACGTCTTGTGTTTTCGGGTTCATGAAAAAAACATTCTGCTTCGACCGCCAAGAAAGCCATGACAATAGATATGTTTGTTATTGTGGGAAAACTTTTACTGTTTCCGATAGTCTTAAAGCTCATGCTACCGGGTTCATACGGACAAAAACCGAACAACCGGCCTGTACTGAAATCGTCAAGCAGTGCAATGACACTCAATCCGAAATTGATTTGGACAAGATGCGTGCAGATATCGACAAGGCCATTGAGGAAGCTAAAAAAAGCTATTGAATCCTTACAGTCAATTCGTGCACAACTTAATAAAGATCGCAGTCACAGTTTGACATAAAAACAAATTTAAACGTCGCACTTTCATTCCTTGTACTTTCATTAATTTCTCAACCTTCATTCATTTTCATTCTCTACTTTCATTCCTTTCTCTACCTTCCTTCATTTCTCTACTTTCATTTGCTATTTACCTCTCCCGATTCCCTCTCGCATTTCACCATCATTCGATCATGACAAAACTATTTTGCATCCTTGATGGTAATTCAACCCCCTTCTCAGTTGTTGTTTCGCCGGACGACACAGTTGATGATCTCAAAAAAGCAATCAAGAAGGAAAAAGAAAACGACTTCCGAGAGATTGATGCCGACAAATTGAATCTCTTCCACGTCTCTGTTCCTGATGAGGGCGCTACAATCAATCTCGCCAATATTGAATCAAAGGAGCTACTCACCAGAGCAACAAGCAAGATCTCAAAGATATTCGGCATATCGCCTCTGCCTGAGGAGACTATCAACGTCATTATTCAGCGGCCATCACAAGGTAGCTCTTGATGGGCTGGCTACTGATATTTTCAGCCAGATGGAGCTTAAACTCCTGTGCATGACGTCATTGATCAACATTACTGTTCATGCTAACATGTTTATTTATTTTATTGCTGTTGCAATTGTTAGGATCCTTTGCAGGTACGAGTTCTCAAGTCAACAGTAAATGAGTCTATTTCTCAAGTAGACTTTCAGCATCGCAGATGCTCTGTATTCATTCCTTGGGTCTTTTGATTGAGTTTGCACACCCGGAGCCTATTCCTAATGCCCTTTCTTTTCTTTTTTTTTGTGGTTGTGGATTGAGTCAATTTCTCGTTTAATCTTTTGCTACATGCTGCAGCTTATTCTAACGCCTTTTCTTGAAACATTATGGATACTTAGGTCCAAGAGCTTTAGAACTAAATGATGAGGATGGTAAGAGATTTGTCGGGTTATATTACGGGTTATATAGCACATTAGTTTTTACGGCATATTAACATTGTCCGTCACATGTCATATCTAGAGAGACTCTGGCTTGAGAGAATCAAGAAGGAATTCTTCCAGGGAAAGGTCAAGCAATTCCTAGAATCATACGCCAATGGTGACCTTAAACTTCCACTGACTGGGGGAGTTGTGTCAGGTCTTCCGAAAGTCCCTAGGAGAGGAACGCCAAGCGAGAAAAAAGAATGGCCAAGTCTTCTTCTCCTTAGCCCATCGACATCTCTCAATAACACTATATACCATCCATGTGAAGAGGCAATCAAAAAAATTTATGAAGATGATCCTCGTCAACTATCATTGTTTGGAGTTAGTGGTTGCGGGAAGACCAGGACTGTCATCGAGATTCTTTCCCAGAAATGGGGCATCTATTTGAACGCCAGCAGCACCGATAGAGGATCCAATGACTTGACATCGCTTGCTAAGTTTATGCAAGAGGCAAATTTGGAACGGTTATATAATAATCAAGATAAGGCAGAAAATGGCCTTAACACACAAGCAATCACGCACTGCCTACTCCTGTCAAGACTACTGATCTTCCAACACTGTCTGGGATTGAACAAAAACCTAACTTGTGAAAGCTTGATGCTCTTGCAGGTTTGCCCCTCAGCTTTCAGCAAGGAGGTACCCGATATTTTTGACAAGCTTTTCAATACTATAGCCGCAAGCTTCCACAGGGGAGGTGTTGGAAGAGGGAACGTATGCCGTGTCGTTCAAAAAGCTTTTGAACAAGTTCAAAGTCAACTGAATCCATCGACCAAAATTCTGATTGTAGTTGATGAGGCTCAGAATTTCAGCCGAGTATTTGAGAAACGATTCCAATCGAACCTACCCGATAGCAGACCGAGGCCATTACTATCGCCTGTAGTCCATGGCCTTGAAACAGTAACCACGGATTCGCAACATGTTTGTATCATTCCGTGTGGGACTGGCCTTAGTCTTAATGACCTTCAATGGTTGGAGGATTCTGGCGCAGAAGCCAAAGGTACCAAGGAACCGGATGGAGGTCAATCCTATCGTATCACCAATTTTTCTGGATGGAGTAGTATAGCACAAATCACCGAATACTTAGAGCGTCTTAAAGATCAAGTGACTACAGGTCGTGAAAAAATCGATGAAATGATACCGCCAGCTGCAGTCGATACGATGTACCGACTCCTCCGAGGCCGATTCCGACCCATTATCAGCGTGATCGAGGGAACTATATGGAAGCACAATGCGATCGAGGAGACTAAAAGGGAGCAAAATGAGCCAGGATCTCAAGAAGAGCCAATCTGGATGAAGGAGATAAAGGACGTGCAACAAAGGCTAACAACTTGCCCTGATGATTTGAACCAGAGGAAAAGGGGGAACTTATGCTCTGACTTTCATCACGCTATGAAGGCGCTTAATGTGGAGAAATCTGAGATGCTCTATCTCGTCAAAGTAGCACTTGTTCGCATGGTGTTATTTGGAGTACAAACTGTTATCGCTAAGGAACTTCCCCAACTTGTAGAATCGGCGCTTGGTAGGATGGAGTTTATCAAGTCAAAATCGCCAGAATATCGTACAGTGATCGACGAACCATTTGTGTTTCTTGCAGTCCACAATTACTTTCAAAAATCAGACCCTGGATTTCACAACATGATAGTTACCTTTTGGACATTCACTAAAGACCCCAAAATACATGGAAAATTTTGGGAGTGTCAAGTTCCTTTGAGCTTGATCAACATCTTCCACAACAAGACGCTTGCGAAAAAGATGTTTCCAAAAAATGCACCTCTGGATCTGGTTGATCACGAAGCCACCATAGTTGGATGGAAAAAATCCCGCATTGGAGCTGATTGCAGTGACTTGACTATGGAGCAATTCTTGGAGGCCCATTTCGACCATGATTCGAGGATTGATAAAAGAGAGATTCCTCCATTTTATTTCCCCACGGACGAAATCACTGGTCCAGACATTGTGTTTATTCTCAAGATCAACAAAAAGATGTACCCCGTATTTGTCCAGCTCAAATTCGTGAAGAAGCTTGATGGTATGAAAGCAGCACACGCCTTAGAGACAATTAGCCGCGACGCGATCAATGTACACCATTTGCCCAACTTTGACCGCTTTTGCCCTCCGAATGAAAGGTATCTTAGCTTGTTGTTAATGTATCCTGGAAAATTGTCAGATAAAAATAAGACCATGCATCCCCCAGATTCAAGGCAGGCTCTAATGGTGATAGATGAGGGCAACATTGCCGAATACTTTCATGAGAACGAGATTGAGCTATTGGATTCCATCAAGAGAAGTGGAGAGGCAATTGAGCATGGAAGAGAAAAGAAGATCAAATCCAACGAGCAAGAATCGTCCTTAACACTGCAAGATGGCGACTAATTGTTTTCAGAAAATAAAAAAAGCTTATTCATTCACATAAACGTTTGTAACAACCCAGTTTATTTTGTTGAACTCTCTTGGTGCGGAGATCGCACCTTCTTGGAAAACTGTGCGTGCTCTTCCAGCGTGTGAGTGCGCATCACAAATGATCCTCCTGCACTCTCACAAGCCTGGGAAAGGTCATCCTTACTCATCTTGAACACAGTCCTCCTCGTAAGCTCTGTTGGCCCCGTGGGATACCCAGATGCAGGGATCTAGCAGGCAGAGCTCGAATATCTCTGGTACATGATGAAAAAAAAAAAAAAAAAAAAAAAAAAGCAGGTTAAAAGTATGATTTGGAGCAGAAAGAAGCAGAATGAACCTCAATTTATAATCGCCATGGTCTGTCTCATTGCATTCCGGACAGTCAACGGACCGATCAGATTCGACGATGTTAATAAAGTCTACTATGTGGATCCTGCGGACCATGACAAAAATAAGGAAATACTACAGAGCGTTTTTCGCCGCGATTTAGTGATGCTCATAGGCGCACGTGCCTCTGGAAAAACAACATGGTTGTATCGACTTATCACCCAATTAACTGACTTTGGGTATCGCTGCCTCCCGTAAGCCAACTTCCGCGAAAATGGATAAAGTGGATGCAATGTATGCGCTATTGTACCGGTACTGACCTTATATTTTTCATTTAGACTATCATTTGAGGAAGTTAACGTTCGCAATAATGAGTCTGTTTTCTGGAGAACTTTTGGTGATGCGAGACGTACACTCGAAGTCAAATGGGTATGTTTTTTAAGCTTAGTTAACTCTCCACGAGTTGATGTGCCATTCTAATACAATGAATTGTGCTCAATGTCAATAGTCATCCAGGAATGATTTGTCTTTGTGGACGCTCCATTCATGAGGATCTTCGCTCGAAAGTCAACGGCTCGACGAAATGTCTCGATTACGATACATGGCAGGACTTCTCCACAGACAATCAGAATAAGAGGATGCTTTCGTACCATACTTTCAGAAGGATGGTCGATTCACTTTTGAATGAATCAGCTACAGATGCTGTTAATCTTCTCCGAACAGATTTTATTGGGTATCTCGGCGATATATCTATCACAGACATGGAACAACAGAGATTGGCAGACTTCCTAACTGCAGAAGGGGTGCTGATAAGACTTGATGGCAGTAACTACCGTATGGCCTCAGCATTCATTGACTCGTTTGTGAGGAGATATATTATTCCATCAAAATATCCCAACGCTCCTTCAGAGTCACCCCCAAAGAAAAGAGGAGGATCATTGGATATTCTAGAGATTATGAAGATTGCTCTTCGATTTTTCGATAAAGACTTGATTTTGCAGGCGGAAGATCGATCATACAAAAGTTCGGGGAGAACAGTTAAGGTTATGGGCGACTACAACGCCAGTGTCCCTCGAGAAAGCGTCTATGACACGGAATTGATGAGAGTTCTCACCAACTGGCTAAACAAAACAAAAAAATATGAGATCATTGGCTAGTGGCACCTCCGTGAGCGTGAGGACCACAAATATAGTGACATTGTCATCAAGAAAGCAGGAAAACCTACGGTTGTTATCGAGCTTTTGGCTACAGGGAATCAAACTTCTATTAAGGACCATATCAGCAAGACGCTAACTTACAAACGTTTGCTCCCAGCAGAAGAAGCTTGGGTTGTTCATTTTACCTGTGCGGACGACTATTTTAAGCACCCATACTGGCAAACCGACGCGGAACTGGACCAAGGGGTGAATTTGGTGCATTTCTGGCACGATAGGAGTTTTGATACAGTGCGGATGAGTGCTCGCTGGAAGGACAGTAGTGGCAATACTCAAAGAATTGACAATGAGCTGTTGACTATCTAACAGCAATTCTATTTTTTTTTTACCCAACATTGTAAGGACGTCCCATTTTGTTGAGATAGGCTTTATAATTTTGCAGATCTGTTTAAATAGCTGCTACTTTGTATATTTCGCATTGATTGCATTAAAACACTCTCTCTTCATTAATGACAAACAATTTACTTTATGTATCTATACCTTAATCTATATTTATATATTAGTCAGAAAGGCTTCGGGTCGAGTTGGGTAACCTGGCTGTCACGTCACGAGCCTTATTGCGGGACCTATTTTGGGGCAAATGATATCTATTCAGCAACAAATGTCGATGCATGCGGAGCATGTTCTACCAAATTTGTCGTAAGGACATAATATCTTCTATAACGTAAACACCATTCAACGTGGTAGCATCCACCCAATCTGAAGAACTCTTCATGACAACTGAAAATACAAATCGAATACATGATACTGAAGTACAAGGCATTTACCGCGAAACTTGGCTGTGTTAATTTGTTCTGAAAAAGATATCAGATCATTAAACTCACTTTAAATGCGCAAACCGGGCTTCATTACGACATCTGGGCTACATGGGCTCACAAAAGTGATGTTAGCCATGTACAGCCTTCCACATTTGAAAGTAGAAACACCAAATATTTTATGTTGGCTTCAACTTTAATGAATTTGACTCACTTATTGACACATCGATTGGGCCGCTGATAAGGCGTAATCGACGTCTGCCAAAAAATGGCCCGTGTCTCTTCCTCTGTATGCTCATATTTATTTTTTTGCTTTGTATCTCTTCCTTTTTCTTCCATTCTCTTGTGTCTCATCTCCCTCACTGCGTGTTGGTTTCGTTCTTTGTCTCTTTCCTCTTGACCACTCTTTCATCTTTCTTTTTATCTTTCCACAATGAGTGAATCCAACAAATACATTTTTTTCTTTTGTGCCAAAGGACTCGTGGGAAAAAAGAAAAAAGATGAAGAAAAATTACTCCATGAATGAATATCATGATCATTTAAATCGTTATCACTTATCCATCCTGGTTGAGTTCGAGTTAGAAAATACAACTGAACCTTTCCTCATTCATCGTAATCCCATGTCAGACATGGCCTTTCTCCTCTATTTTTTTTTTTTTCAACCGTACATCTGTGTTACAACACTACAAGACCTGTAAAGCCGCCGGTCCCTCCAGCCTCGAATGCCGATACATGTTCAGATGGCCATTCATTACAGGATAGTGTTAAAAAACATGAGGCAGTAATTAAGATACTTTGTGAGAGGATAGACGCTCTTGAAGAGAGGTATGACATCCTTTATTTGTTGTTGTTAATGAGTTAATAGATTCTTCTTTTTTTTTTTTAGATTAAATAGAGAAGAAGTTCAATCGCCATGTCATGATAAATAGCGAACAAGAACAGTAGTTCTTTGTTATTATTTTAAATAAACCTCTTTTCATATAAAACGTTCGTTCTCCCTCATAACTTCAAAACAATAACTTTCATTTCTCATCCTTTACTTCCCCATTACTCCATGGATATCTTGAAATATGTTGGAAAAAATCTTCCGACAAAAAAGCAGATCCCAAAAATAAGGTGTACACTCTTTTTTGTCTACTTGATGGAGAACCGCTTTCTGTCCTCATTGATGCATCTGCGCTCTCCTACACCAGCGTTTGCCGACTCAAAAGCTTTATAATGGCAAGAGCAAATGTCAAAAAAAGATTCATTGCACGGGCTCGTGACATTGACAAAGCTTGAGAACATTCATAAATTATTTGACGTTTTTGAATCGTTGGCAATGCTTTTCGAATCAACAGAAATGAATCGAAAGAGACCACTCGATCATGACAGTGAGAATGACAATACTGCCGAGAGTAAACAACGACTACAGCGTTCTAAAAGAACATTGGCAAGACATTTATGAAAAACCCGTTGAATAAAAAATCGATATTTATTTCTTTATGATTTATTTTCTATATTTTCTATATCTATATTTTTATATCTTTACGAGCCGGAGACCGTGGCTTCGCCACGGCCTGCTCTTGCCTCGTAATAAAATTTAATGCTTACAACGTAGTAAGTTATCTTTATCGTACAAAATAAAATACAAAAACAAAATAAAATACAAAAACAAAATAAAATACAAAAACAAAATAAAATACAAAAACAAAATAAAATACAAAATATAAATGCAAAATAAAATACAAAATATTAATGCAAGTAAAATACAAATAAGTGCTACAAAATAACGTCAGATTGAATAACAATGGAGATGAGCTGAAAGTTGACGTGAATGACTTGGGGATGAAGAAGCAGCAGGATGTCTGAAAACCAAGATATTGTGACTACAATGCGCCCTTGAAGACAATGTTTCTGGTGTATATCCCAGGCTTGGCTTGTACCTTCCCATTCCCGACCAGCACCTTAAGATTGTTTGGGTCAGTACACCGTGATAAAGCAACGTAGAGATGGCCATGACTGAAGACATCTTGAGGAAGATAAACACCGACATGTTTAAGTGTCTGTCCTTGTGACTTATTGATAGTCATGGCGAAGGCTGGCTTGACTGGAAATTGGCGTCTGCAGAACATAACTGGCGAAGAGCGGTCATCAATCGTTGTAAGCGGTATGCGAGGAATGAAAACACGCTCCCCTCGATATTGCCCATTGATAATCTCAGTCTGGATCATTCTTGTGCCCAACGCACGCACAATCATGCGGGTGCCATTACATAGTCCGCGCTTTGGATTCAAGTTGCGGAGAAGGATGACAGTTTGACCGACTTTCAACTCCAGTTTGAATGGAGGCAAGCCTGGTGGACTAAGCTTGTTTAGATATTCTACAGGATAATGGACCGGAGCTGTTGCTTCAGGGTCTTGTAGGCTATCTTGACCAATATAACTGACTGATTGCTGAGTACTACAGAGCATAGTGGTAGCCAATTGGTTTAGCCTGTCTACATCTTCATTGAGAGGGCTCAATATAGCGCTCAATGAGTATTTCAGGCCGGAGTCCAGCAGTTTCGATGTCTGGAAATATCTGCCTAATTAGTAGCTTTTCGTGACTGTGATCCTTATTTACAGCTGGGGCGTCAAGGACCAAGTTGTCAGGTATCCTGATATAGTCGACATGAGGGCCAAAACTAACGGTCGGCTCTGTCCCTTCACCAATACGGAGTAGCCATTCGACAAAC